ACACACACACACACACACACACACACACACACACACACACACACATATATATATATATATATTATATATATATACATACACACATATATATGTATATATATATATATATATATATAAATATATATATATATATAGAATGTATGTCTGAGTAGATGGTTATAATAAGCATCCTTTAGTCTCAGGTGAACAGATGCATACAAGCAGTCATTAAAGATCGCGTGCAGGTCGATTTGTGTGGTCCACAATTGCGACATGAACAGCTCCAAAACATTTGACTCGCAATTGGCTGTGGTCTTCCTGCGACGCATACGATTGGTTAGTCCATTTATCCATCCACATGGACTGCACTTTGATGTACATTTTGTTTCATATTCTGTATTTTGTCGCATAATATACAAAGAGATGCAAGTGCAGAAGATTGCTTAATCAATTACTCTATCCACATGGACTGTATTGTGGGGTATATTTTGTTTCTTATTCTGTACTCTGTTGCATATAAAACAGAAAGTGCAACGAGAGGGAAAAGCAATGCGACCGACAAACCACCAAAGGGGGGCACGTGGACTGACATCCAATTCAAGCTGAGAGTACTACAGGACATGCGCATCAAACGTACGCCGCAGCACAACACACCACCCACACACACTCCGTCTGATCATCTGTTCTTTGGAACGTGTGGTAAAGTAGTAGAGGTCTCATATGTGACATGATAGTATTACGTACGGTGTGTTGTGTGCCTGTGTTCTGATACCTGTCTAGTTTGTGTGATATCATGGTACGGAAATCGTTTCGCCATGCCACGCATCACACGATTTTAGGGTTTAGGGTTTTTTTAGGCCCAGTCTTCGCCATATGCCTTGACACAGTGTCCTCCTCTGCCACCGGTCCGATGAGCCTCTGATATGGTGCACGGCACCTCAATTGACTAACACCATGAACCCAAAACCCTAACCCCTAACCCCTACATCGCGCTTTTTACTAAAAACCCTAAACTCATCAACCCTAAACCCTAGATCGGTGGTGTCCTCTGGCCACAGTCCACCACATCTATACCGTGGTGTATCCTGTCTGTTTGCTCTCAGCTGTAACGTTTTCTGTGACGTTCGTAAAGCTTTAACGTGCGCGTTGTTTTAATTTGCTGCAGATCTCCCCCAAATCGATTGGTGCGATGTGAGCGGAAACCCAAAGTTTGTGTGCGACGACCAATCAGAAGGCTTGGCGCGGCAGCTGAGGAGTCTGGGATTGGACTGTGCGTTTGTGCGCGACCACATGCCGCAAGGAGTGTGCAGTAACCATGGCGACGGGCCAAACAGTGAGGCGCGTGGCGGGAATGTGGACGACGAGAAGACTGGAGATGCGGATAGGGGGTCGGTAGAAAGTAGTAATGAGATTAAGAAGGAGGACAGGGGGGTAAGCAATAGTTGTAGTAGGTCAGGCAGGTGCCCTGACAGCCAACGGGATCAAACCATCTGCGGTAGTCAGTTGGGTATGGGGTGTGCAGATACAGATAAGCAAAGTAGTACGGGTACTGAGCATGTACCTGAAGATAGTAAACACAAGCATGTGACCGGAGAGATAGGATCAGTTTGTACTAATGGAAGCCATACAGCGAGCACCAATGAGAGTGGCTCAGCCAATGCCACTGACAGTGTTGATGTCAAGTGCACAGCAGATGACACCCGCGGAACGCAGCGAAAGCGAAACAAGATGACCAACTCACAAAAGAACATCAAACAGCTGACCACGTGGCACATGCTGATCAAGGTAAGTGCACATGTGTGTGTGTGTGTGTGTGTGTTATTTTGTGTGTATGTATGTGGGTGTGTGTGTGTATAACATTCACAGAAGGACATTAAGCTACTGACCACGTGACGCATGCCAATCAAGTTTTGCGCAAGTGTGTGTATGTGTGTATGTGTGAGCGTATATATATATATATATATATGTATATTACTTGCATCATGTATGTATTATTTCGGTATTAGTTTACTATTTCACGATCATACAAGACAATTGATTAGTGTCCAATCTCCACTCCTACATGGACTGCAGATAGCTGAGGACGAGAACCGCATCATTCTGACCAAGAACAGGCGGTTGGCACAGGCCCATGCGAATGTCAGTGCGAAGAAGGGGTTCAATACTCCTGACACCATGAAGTACCAGGCGGCCTACTTTGTATCTGCCAGTGACAAATATGGGCAGCGGAGAGAGGTACAGTAGTGTATTCATGTGTGCACCTGCTGTGTATAGTGTACGTAGACCTGGCGAATGCTCACAGGTGTGCCGTTCGATGATCATGATTGTTTGTCTGTGTGTGGGTGGGTCTATTGAGGACCAGGAGAGTGGCCAGCATGCATTACGGCATGAGAGCGCATGTCTGTGCACTTGTTGGTTGTAGACCCCCAGCAGTCAACGCGTCGTGAAGAAGGCTGCATACGATAAATCTGTCCATATACGTCAAATTGGCTGGGTCTGCACACCCCCGAGACATCACTTACAATACCAGTATCACATACAGCGGTGTCACTATTCCCTTGCTATGTATTTTTATGCCGCCTCGACCCGCATATATACATTGACTCATTCCTCTCTTACGGGTATGTATTTACACCCCTGAATATGCGCATATGCTACTTGTCTATGCAGTTTCTTCCTTTCCTTCCCATTATATACGTATACGTATGTCATGCTTATATAAGAAGTTCCTCCCCTTACGACTATGCACGCATGTTTCCTGTCTGAGCAGATAGTGGAGCGGTTTGGGTTGAACATTCGAGAGCGTCTGCTGCTCACGCGGTGCCTGACATGCAACGGCACTTTTGATGGGCCGTATTCGGGCCATGAGGTATGCGTTACCCCAAGTACGCGACAGTGGGTCATACCTGACATCCACTCACTCTGTGCTGTGATAATGCGATGGAGCTGTTCTACTCATTCTTCGAATGGTTTCGTATGCGAACCGATCTGTTTGTTGCCTGTGGACCGTGGTTGTGTATCCACCAATAATTTTATTTTTTTATAGGGTTCATTATGTAACCAGTGTGTTGCTTAGCAACAGTATGTGTCCGGGTATAAATAAGCTTGCTTAATCGCGTTTGCCAGTTGGTGTACTTGAACAGTTCCGTACCACTGCTGGTCTCGGAATTCCGGTAGTGGATGACACAACTAAACGCGCAGCGAGTGTGAGTGTATTCATGCACTATTGTGGCCTTTTTGTGACGCCTTTATGTCACCTGCAGATTGGTGTGAACCTTGTAGTCATATCAGAAGTACCAAAGATTCTCATTAAAGTCCATGGTTCCCATCTTGGCACCTGCATGTAGCTCTGTGCCTACAGCATAAACGTAGCATCCCTCCTGTGCTCATCCATCGTCCACTGTTTGCGTCTTTTGCAAATTGAATGTGGACTCTGTGCCCACATCAACAACGGTGTCCTCCTTTCTTCTCACTCATTGTCCACCATACTCGTATCTACAGTTGGATGTGAGCTCAGTACCCACACCAGAGGTGCTGACAGTGGAGGGACGGGTGTTCTACAAGTGCATCGGCAGCTGTGGGGCAGCCACGTGGCAGGGTGGACAATTCACCAATCATATCGCAAAGCTGAGGCTCGAATACGGAGACCCAAATAATGTGCTACCGGTTGAACAGGACTTTTGAGATGTATAGATATAGGTACACGACTGATAATGGACCTACGGTTCGATATTTGCAGATTTAAAACTGGATGCCTTTGCGCCTGCTTCGGAACTTTCGAACTTGAAATGATAATTAATGGGATGGCATATAAATTCGTACAGTGAATTCGTTCACTCGGGAACAGATCCATCCTTTCTACGATTGTCTTTTGTAGAGCCAATTCTGATAAGAATGTGAAAGCAAAATATTCGAGGTGCAGAGTTAGTTGAATACTCACCGACTGTGCACAAAGTTCCTTCAGAACAACCACATGGTTTTAAGTCTCATTCTTCCTGCTTTTGAAAGAATAGTTTGACAATTTTCGAGTTGAATTTGCACATCATAACGTTCCCAGTTCCTGTTCCCGTGGTATTCTTGGGCAATCGCTTTCGGTAGGCTCTAAGTTGAGCGATGTTGCATTGATCGCTAACTTATGATAACCCCACCCGACTACCAGTATGTTTAAGTTTCAATACCATTATTTTGGGGAAAATTAGAACTCATTGCATACACGTCTACTGTGCACTAAAACGCCAAATATTGATCAAATCACACGCATTCCCTACATAGCGAAAACGGATTTGTCGGCACACGGGGCTTTGCTAACAGGAGCGGCAATAGTTGCATTAGACTTTCTATTTATTTAGATAACATTGGCTATGATCAGCGATCACTAAGATAATTTGTTTAATTTGTTTTTCAAGATTTCGCCAATGTAAACTTGACGGCCTGACCGGCTGTCCCTATTCAGAATTTGGTTTGTTTACATCTACAAATTATACTTCTTAGTTGTCACTGTTCACACTTCACTCTGTTCTAAAACTTCAAGTTCTTGTATGTATGTAATAAAATATTTATTTTTTTACCTTGGAGCTTCGGAGGTATGATACATAACTGATTTTTTAAAAAGAGAGCAAGTTGGTGGTTCCAATTAATATTATAGTCCTTATTTGGGTATTTTCTCCCGGGATGGAGTGATTTTTCAAATGCGACACTTTTGTATTTTGATTTTCGCAGTGCCCGTAAAACGGCCTACGCACAACGGGGGTGGAAAACTGAAATCTGATAAGGGTCTGAGACTCTGAGGAGTGAGGACGGAGAGGCTCATTTCCAAAGTTCCAGACTTCCGGTGTTTGTTTTGATCTGATTTTTTTTATAAACAAAATACATACATTGTTTATGCCAGAATCCAGTCGCCTGGGGCGTGCGCCCTGGGCCCTGGGGTAAATATTAGTTGTAAATACTTAATAATAATACAATAGGCCATGCGAGAAGCTGGGGCCTGGGGGCTGGCCGGCTGGGGCTCATCAGTCGTCATGATGGAAGAGGAGTTTAAAAACGAATATTTGGACCGAAGGCCGGGAGTCGGCGCGAGAAAATGGACTGTCAACTTGTGGTGAAGTGTGAACTCGGCATCTGAATTATATATTTTTGGTTCTATGTACTGTTTTTTGAATTTGGTTTCATTTTTTGTTTGTTTTGTTTTTGTTTTGTTTTTTTGGGGGGGGGGGTGGGGGGTTTTTTTTGTTGGTTTTTTTGGTTTTTTATAAAAAATAAATACAAAACAAAAACAAACCAAAACAGCACTGCAGCAGTCAATCTATATGTTTAGTACATTTTTACATATCAGTTATCAGTATGTATCATTTTCTGACTCGTCAATCGCGGACTCTCGCCAGCGCCCCGCGGGGCGCGGGCTTCGGTCCGCAGACAGTCACTCAGTCAGACTGACATCGAAGTGTGATGACTGTAAGAGACTGGAGATTCTCAGAGACACTTCACAAGTAGATAACTGGGAAGTTGATAACTACTCTATAGAGTAGTAAAAGGTGTGACGTAATTTACGATTCAACACAAACCCTAAAACAGAATAGTTTATTGGTGAGAAATGAACTAGTATTTCTACTGGTGGAGACCGTTGTAGAGGATGCAGTAAATACTATTAGCCAAGGAATTATATGGGTTTTGATTGAGTATAATTCTCTTTGAAGAAGAAGCAAGACAATAATTCCGAGGATTGGGAAAAGGTAGAAAGTGATAAATAGGATTGAAAGTAGATGTAAGAAAGCATGGATTCTACGGTTAACATCTAGTTTACTAAACAAATTATAAAGAAGTTTTTTAGTTTGAGTAGTAGAGCTTACTCCATACTTTTCCTTGACTTTGTAGCAAACGTATCCTGAGCACAGAACAACTTTTGTTTTTTCCCCCTTTTTTTTAAAGAAATACTTCTCCCACTCTCTCTGCCAGTCTGCCACTTCGAGTCCCTGACTCTCTGGGAATTTCGAACTTGAGTCTTGGACTTGAGGTCGAGGATGACTCCAGAGACTAGAGTCCTGAGTGACTCCTGAGTCCTGACTGTCGCGGTTCCAATTTTCAGAAGTTCCAGTCTTTGACTTCCAACTGTACATACCTGTAAACAGTCATATTCTGGACAAAAAGCCGGACAGATTTAGGAAATAACCTTTCAGAGGCTCCAGAGTGTCAGTGAGGAGAAGGGCGGAGCCGTGGAGGCCGGAGAGCCGTTTTGGGATAATTATTTATTTTATAGTCAACTATGATGACTTTATTAATTATTAGTCTAGTCACAATCGTCCTCGTTAAATAATACATAGCGTAGATTCTGATATTTGCAAGGCGGACCGTGGAGAACTTTTGATGGGGTGTTCCACAACACTATTTATATAGCTACGACATGCAGTTTGTTCACTACAAAATACTATTACTCGAAAAGCAATCCGTTTATATCAACAATGGACACAGTTGTTAGTAATGGATGGGCACAATACGTGGGCCCAGGGGGCGAGGTCGTTACAGTCATAATGCTGTTTCTGCCAATCCTTTTCGTGGTTGTGGCTACTTTAATGCCCAACCCTCTTCCAACAACTGTATCACTGCCTCTTTCGGCGATACTCATGTATCTAGTGCGCCTCGCATACCTTGGCAGCAATGTGATAAACTCTAGTGCTGCATTAGTCTCAGGTTTTCCCGAAGTTCTTACGCCATTGACGATCATCTGCGGTGCCATGTACCTCTTCAAGATAATGGAGGTTACCGGATGTATGCCCTGGATTATGCGCGAACTCAAAATTCTCTCCAAAGGGCATCCAGTGGCAGAATTCATGCTGATTGGGTACTGCTTCGCATATCTAGTGGAAGGTGTAAGTGGGTTCGGAACTCCCACAGCGCTCGCAGCTCCTATGTTAGCACAATTAGGACACAACCCAATCATGTGTATCGTTGCTATCTTGCTAACGAACACTATGGCCACAGTTTTCGGTGCCGTGGGCACTCCAATTTGGTATGGATTCGGAAGTTTGGTTGACACCTACTATCCTGGCCAAGAGACTTGATTGTGCCCATTTTGGCTGCAATGTACTTGATACCTGCGAAAGTTATCTTTCAGAACATCATATTCTTCTATTTGTCTCTCTTGGCTACTATGATTTCCATGATACTTCTGTCGATATTCACATACGAATTTCCCACACTTCTCGGTGGTATCATTGGATCGGCCGTTACAGCTGTTCTAGTCACGTTCAGGATCGGTCTTAAGGATGTCGATCCCGACGATATGGGTGAGGAGTGGCAGATGATTAATAAGAAGGGTTCTCTTTATCTTGCATTTTTAGAAGGTAACAAGCAAAGTATCTCTGAGACAGCTGAGTCAAATGTGAATTTGGCGGAATCTAAACTCGAGATGGAGAATCCAGAATATCAACCCTCGGACAGCACCAGCAGACGACTGTCTTTCGCATCTTTCACGTCACATATCTCAGCTGTCACTTCTGCGATAACTACTGCCACCGCAGTCAAGTCTGCTTTTGCAAAGGATGCAGAAGTTGATGATCAGGGATCTGTCCTCGAGGAATCAGAGATAGAACGACTTACGTTCACAGATGATCGGGAGGATGATGCGCCCGTATTCGAATTGAAGCCCCGTGAAAGAGGGATGAAGTACGTTTTGGCTATGCTTGGTCGTACTTTGCCCATCACAGGCACTGTCGCATTGCTTATTACCACACGGTTACCAATGATTCCTCTGAAAGAATTGCTCACTGCCACTGAAACGTACGCCGGGGTTCAACTCGGTACATTTATGTGGTTCCAGATCTCGCCAAATCTGGTGATGCTGTTCCAAAAGATTCTCACCGATGATACAGTTAACTCTAAGTACGAGACCTTGTATATACCCGGTCTCATTCCCTTCTTCGTCATTTCTTGGTTGGCCTGTATGGTGTACTGGAAAGATATGCGTTCCATGAGAACCAATCCCTTCTCTGAGATTTTATCGCTGGCTCGCCGTGTTACCGGAGCGGCTGTTGCACTGCTCGGTGGGTTAATGTTGGTCGGTCTCATCAGAAACGGAGGCTACTACTCACCAGCATATCTTTTGGGTTCGATTATATCTGGTTGGGTCGAAGAATTCTGGATCATTATCGCCCCATTCCTAGGAGCTCTGGGATCGTTTTTCTCTGGTTCTACTGCCGTGTCCAATTTAACGTTCGGCGAAGTTCAGTATGTTGCGGCCGTCAGTGCAGGCTACAACCCCACCACAATCCTAGCATTGCAGGTATTCGGAGCTTCTATGGGTAACGCTATCTGTATCAACAACGTCATTGCGGCACGAACTGTCATGGGTGTCACAGAAATAGGCGAGGGCAAATTCATTGCTAAGACCGGCCCTGTAGTGATAATAGGGATTTCATGGACTACTCTCTTCATGTACCTGTGCTTTGTGCTGCCAGGGCAATTCTCGATGTTCTAAACAGGCCCAGTGAGATGGATACGGTATATCTCGCCTAGGTACAAATTAGATATCTTAGACAACTAATAATAATAGAATATACAAACATTAGCATATCACACATCAAACGGTTTGACCAGATTATATTACAGAAGATACTATATATATATATATATATATATATACACACACACACACACACACACACATATATATATATATATATATATATATACACACACACATATATACACACACACACACACACAC